CGACGGTGGGTCCAGACGCCATTCAACAGCTGTGCCATCTTCCTCATCCCAAGGATACTACAGCGACAGTGGGGACGGATTGCCCGATACGTGGAGGAATGCGGGGTGTACATGGGGGAAGCCTTGCCGTACCATGTATGTTTTGACTCACACCTCCCCTTCGTACTGCTCCACATCCCGCGCCACGTACCCAAATTCCGTGAGAACAGACTGGCCAAATCTCCCAAGGCCCTGCCTAAGGGGTGGCACAAGCAACAGGCTGAGCAGGTGCGTGGGTTGTCTTGAAGGGCTCCGCAAAGGGGACGAAGAGCCACTGGTGTGCGCCTTCGCGAACCGGGGCTTCTCCTATGAAGGCAGCGACGAAAGGGCCATCTGCTGTGGAACCTGGTACCACACTAAATGCTTCGCGGTGGGAGCACCTTTCACTAGCAGAAACCCGAATGAGAACGGCATGTGTTTCCCAAAGGGCGCGGAGGCCGGCATGTTCCCAAACTTCATCTGCGAAGCCTGCCAGGTACGGGCGGTAGTCAAGCGAGAGCTTGACGGACCATACGATGTACAACTACTGGCTTACGAGCGGATGCGGTTAGTCGACACTATGAACACGTTGACCGAAGGGACACTGAAGAACTACAAGTATCCCATCCGCCGGATCAAACGTTTCTCAAAGAAATTTGGCGTGCCCATTCTGACCCCAAACCATCTCGAACGGCCACCACCCAGTGAGGCAATCCCTTTGATGTGGGCCCAGTACGAATACAGTCTCAACAAGGGAGCCGACGGGAAGAGCAACATCAAGTTCTCATCTGTAAGAGGGCAACGAAGCGCTGCCTCTTCCTACTACCGGTGGGATGCCCTGATGTCGGACCCTGGCAAGGTGGTACACAGCAAGGGTACTTGTCGGTACTACGAAGAAGTCCTCCCCACGGAGGACATGAGCTACACACTCATGAGCAAGGGCCTGAAGCGACGACTGGGGACAGCAGCCAACAAGAGCCAAGCACTGAAGTTTGAACACGTGAAGTTCTTAGACAAGCAGTTCCGAGCCGCCTATAAGAACGCCAAAACGGACGCCCAACGACACGAAATGGCCACAGCTGGAGCGGTCAACATGCTCTTCTGGACCTCCTGGCTGCGAAGCAATGAGGGATTTGGGCTAGAATGGAGCGATTTGACAGTCACCAGACCCGGAGACGGAAGGAACGTCGGGCTGGACGACAAGGAGGGATACATCGGAGCTGCCATGGACAAAACCAAGACGTCGCAAGACAAGAAAACGGATGTCATCGTGGCATATGAATGTGCCTCTGGGCTTAGTCTGGGTTTCTGGCTGGAATTACTCTCCCAATTCACGCCGGCCGATGGGAAGTCACTTTTCTCCACACCTCTCAAGAAGAAATGGGATAGCCGGTATTTCCGCACTACCCATATGTACCCACACTTGGAAGTACTAGTCTCGCCAACTGCACGGACACACCGGGACAACGGATCCAAGACCGGTTCTGGGCCATGCACTCCTACCGCAGGGGGCCGACGGGTTCGTACAGCGTTTCTGGCAAGGGATCAACAAGCGGGAGGCCCGGAAGGACGAGATCTACGAGCACGGTCGCTGGCGTCCCACTGCCAAAGGGGCGAGCGAGGCGATGCACGTCCACTACAGGGAATGGGATATCAAACGGCGAGTTGGGATAACATACTACTGTATGTAGGTAAATATTAGGGGGGTTCTTCTACTGGCCGATAAGGAAGAAGACAGTTCTGGGCCCAGGGGGCACGGGACACGTCCTCCAGAAGGGACCGGCGTAACAACACCAAGTCCGCTCTCTTCTTCAATCTCCACTCCCGTCTTCATAACGCGGGTAGTGGGGACCAGGTACACAACAAAGGCATGCATTCCATCAATACCTTGTCTCCAAATTTATCCATCTTCCAACTTCAATAAAATATCCTCCGCAACCATCCTCAACCAACTGCCTCCTCCTCACTTGCCATCACGGCCACCCCCTCCTTGGGGCTTCGAAGCTCCCTCCGCCTCCTTCGCCTTCTGGTTCTGCCCCCGACGACGAACACCCCGACGGGCGGTCTCCGAAGAACGGTCACGACGAGCCCGGACCGCCGGCGCATGGAAGGGGCGCCCAGTGGACGCCTCTTTGGCCTCGCGCTCCGCCCAGCGATCCTGCAACACCTCCAAGGCGTCCGGATAGAACTGGTCGGGAGTGATGCCAGCCTGAACCGACATGAACTGCTCGGCCGCAGCCGCGGCCGTGGCCGGGTCCAAACCCAACTTCAAGTGCGCTTGAACCAAAGCGTCACGACGAGTGGGCAGCTGACGATGGTGCGCGTCGCAAAAATGGATGGCCAAAGACGCCACCTCCCCACGCTTGTGCTCCGCAACCCGACGTTCGTACACAGCTCCACCTCGCTGATTGTGAAAAGAGGTTCAAGGCCGGGTCCGTCAAGCAACGATGGCCGGGGGCATACGTGGTGGCATGGATGTCGCGGCTGTTGAAGAAGTTGGCCTCGGCCGCCTGCGCGCTGCCCAACTGGATATTCCAGGGACGGACCATGGCAGGCTGAATCTGCACCTCCAAATCCAAAGGGGTCTCCGGGACACGGATGATGGCACCACCCATGAGCTCGACACGAGGATTGTTGACAGGATCCACTTGACGGGCCATTGCAGCGGGGGGAACCGGAAAGCCGCACCCACGAACAGGAGGCGAAGACTTGGGCTGCCAGGCAGCCGGACCCACGGGCGTGGGTGCAGCTTTGGGCTTAGCGGCAGGTTTGAGTGGCTCGGGCACTACCACTTCTGCACCTTTAGGAACGGACTTGGCCTTGGGGGCCTTCACTTTCTTGCCTCCCGACTGAGCTTTACGCACCAGCTTCGCCTGTTTCTTAGTCAAACCACTCTTGGCTTTGCGCGGAGCAGCAGCGGCCGCTGGGACACCAGGAGTGGGGCCTGCCACGTTAGAGGAGCCTGGCGTGGGACCCTCCGGAGTCGAGACGGTCGCAGGAGGCGGAGACTGCAACAATGGAACCTGGGGGAAGTTGATTCCCACTGCACCGTGCGAGGAGCCAGACCAGCTGCGGCAGCAACAGCTGGAGACGTCAAAGTTGATGACTCCACGGCGGCCCGACGGACGGGAATGGGAACTTCGGGGGGAAGAGACTTCACGCCCACCACCACGGGCTCATTGTCTTTGTTCGACGCCTCTTCCTCGAAGTCCTCCTCAGAGCCATCATCCTCCTCCTCCTCTTCTTCATCATCGGACTCCTCATAGGGGTGGAACCCGTGGGCGGCAAGCGGCGGCGGGTTGTCATCATCATCGGCATCTTCCTCTTCCATCTCCTCGAGGTTGGAGCTGTCTGAGATGGCAGTAGAATTGTTGCCCGAAGGGACGGCGGAAGCTTCTGGATCGGTATCTTCGGTAGGAGATTGCGCAACGTTCATGGCAGAAAGTTCTTCAGGGGACAGATTGTCAAGAAAAGCGGCTCCAACAACTTCAGCTAAGAAACCAACGGGACTTTCGAGTAACAACTGCACTTGGGGCTGCTTCGACATTTTTTGTGAGCACCACAACGACTACCAAAATCACCACCGTGAAGACTATACGATGGTTCCCAACCTGCTCTACGCCATCAACTCCATCATGGCCACTCAACGAAAGTGTTTCGTTACGAGGAAGACATCACTGGGAGAGGGTTTCGATGGGATCCATTTGTGTCAACAGCAGAAAGAGTACCACTCGATACGGCAAGCGATGGAAGTATCGATCCACTACCGATCACGCTGTCCCACCGAGAGTTCGCGTTGGGGCACACCGAAAGAACACATCGCTGGCCCGCTCACGCCAGCGACAAAATTATTTATGGCGGACATCAGCGAAGGAACCACTGTTGACACGGCGCGACGGGCATCTCCAACGAACTGGGTTACTTAAGGAACTCACACTCCGTGCGTCACCTGCGCTGGACGTGTCGTCCCAGACCATTCAAATCCTACGGTCGCACCAAGTGCCGGTCCTCACTTTACCAAAACGGACCACTACAACTGCAATCGATCTCCACAACACCTAGTCCATCATGAGCGACTCAGAGACATGGTACGATACTTGTGACGACCTGGAACTACTCACCGAACAAGTCCAAGACATCTCAGACTCGGTCCACCTGGTGCAAGACGACCTGGCGGGGTTCTCACGGCACGAGTGGCCAAGTTGGAGCTGGAAGCCAAACTGCGGGAGGCAACGCCTACCCCAACGCCATCCGCAGCACCAACACCCACTCAGCCCCACAAGAGCCGTGCCTTCGTCAAACCATACCACGAGTGGCAGAAGGGCGACCGCATCATCATCTCCCGGAACGACAAGTACAATGGATGCAAGGGTACCATCCAAGGATCCCGCCCTGGCCAATAGCCGTTCTGGAATATCAAGCTGGACCCCAAGATGCCCAGCGGGTATCACATCGACGTATACAAGACCGACACCGGCTTCCGCTTGATTAAAGCAGGTAACTCTACAGCCGGGTCGGGACATAAAAAACGCAGCAACAACAACAACAACAGCAGCAACAACAACAACAACAGCAACACGCAAAGCTCACCACCTCCCTGGCAGTCGGTGGCGTAATTGGCTGGCTGGGCCGGCCGGCATGGGGGATTATACCTATGGTCAGTCATGAGGGTCTGACTCCGACGAAGGGTAAATTGGATGGAAGTAGGTCTGTCTGTGATACATGCAGCAGGCCTCTCTGGTTATACCAGGGCCATTGCCTTTGCCTGGATCCTAGTCTGGAGGGGAGTTTACAACCTCTATAGACCCATATTAACATGATCTTGCTATAGTCTAGTAGCTCTACTGGACCTAAAAGTGGAATCCCGCCGTTTCAAATGATTCGATTGAATTGAATCATTCAATCGAATCTCGAATCGAATCACTCCGGTTGACACTCATTCGTGGATACGATGCTATTAGTACCAGTACATGTAGGGTACAATCGTGCCGGTACAAAGGCAGCTCCTCGCTTGATCTGGCTTCTGCAGTCTGATCGCTGGCTTCTGCACTCTGCGTCCTGCATCCTGCCGCCGTATTATCCGCAATCCACATCTGATCTTGTCCGTCTTCCTACTAGTGCTACATGTAGTAGATAGTACGACAGCTATGCAAAATGAAGGCCCATCATCTGACCATGCCAAGAGCGCCAAGCGCAAGAGATTGGCGCCGAAGGACAACAAGACGAACGAATCCGACTCCATGGTTCCGGAAGGGCTGCTGCCGTCCTACTTGGCCGAAGCGTTTGCTGATTTGTACGGGGAGGACGGCTTGTTGGTTCTAGGGAAAGGTCTGGGTTGGTTGAGCCTGCTGGCAGTCTTTGTACGTGCTCTGGGGATATCGCATACGATTTATCGTATTGGTTTCGTGCACGGAGGGGTTGGAACTGGCACAAGTCCGCATACCGGTACATGCATGTATAGTTTCCTCTTCTTCGACCAAGTCAACTCACTTTGCGTGTCGTATCTTCTACTGTCTGCTATCGATCCACTGCTGAACCCCTCTTGTAGGTTCGATTCTATGGGGATGTGAAAGAAGGCCATGTGGCAGCGTCGGCAAGTGGAAAGAAAGGCGACCACGGTACGTTGGAATGCGTTACAGTATCTTGGTCTTCTGTAATGGCACAACCAGCTTCCCAATGCCTCACATAGTATTATTTCCATTTTCTTTTCTATTTGCTTGAAGCTATTACAAATACAAGTAAACCTCCATTGGTCGTTGTCTTGGGTTTAAGGGATAATGAACCCAAGGCCCTTGTTTCCGTACTCGAATCTTGGGGCACTCCGCCTCAGCTGATGCCGAAAATGATTACCAATGAGACAGGGCTGAATACAGATCGGGCAGGCAAGTCAAGTATTATTTCAAGAGCCACTCTTTGTGTTACTAGATGCTACCCCAAGAAAATAGTCTTATTCTGAAGGCTTTCTAACTTCTTTTGTGGCATGGATTGGTTGTTTCTACTGCAGTCATGTACAAACAGGGTGGGGTATTCTGTGTCACCAGTCGGATCCTGATTGTGGACCTCCTCAACGGGACTGCTGATGCCAAAGACATTGATGGTCTCCTGGTCGCTCATGCAGAAAGAGTCGTAGAAGAGTCCACAGAAGCCTTCATTCTCAGAATCTTTCATAGTCAAAAACTAGCCGCTTCGTCTATTGTGGAGAAAGGAGAAAAGTCGACTGACGACAACGCCAACGCAACAACCGGTTTTGTCAAGGCATTTACCGATGCTCCAGATTCACTCATGTCGGGATTTGCCCGGGTCGACAAAACATTAAAGGCACTTCGGGTGCGCCAACTCTACCTGTATCCACGCTTTCAGGATGCCATTCGACAAGAGCTGGAAGCGGCTCCACCGCATGTCGACGAACTGCATCAGGAGCTTTCTCCTTCCATGATTGGCATTCAAAATGCCATTGCAGCAGCGATTCAGGGATGCATTCGAGAACTCAAAGGGTCCACAAACCTACTCGAATGGACCAACGATGACCTTTCGGTCGAAAATTGTGTCACGACAAATTTTGATCAAGCCATTCAGAGACAATTGCAGAACGACTGGCATCGTCTCAAACCACAAACAAAACAAATAGTGCAGGACCTGAGAACTTTGCGGACCCTCTTTCAAATGCTGATTCAGTACGATTGCGTCAACTTTTACAAAACCTTGACTGCCATCAGAAACATGAGCGCCGGGTCAAGGAATCCGTCCATGTGGCTGCTCATGCCGGCTGCCGATATGCTTTTTCGAAAAGCCAAAGAAAGAATATTCAAAGTAATCGAGGGAAAGCCAACAGCCAAGGTGCCAAAACCGGTTGCCAAGCTCAAACCTATCTTGGAGGAAACGCCCAAGTGGAAGCTTCTGAAACAAGTCTTGGGAGAAATTCAGCAGGAGGAAGAGGCAAGGAAGAAGAAACGACCAGAAAACAGCAACAATCTGCAGCAAGGGCCAGCAAATGTCTTGGTGATGGTGAAGGACGAAAAAGCTGTGGAAGCTGTCAGGGCATATCTTGTGGACGGCAAGAGCCGAAGAATGATGCTCCTGTGGCTTCGGTACTTGGAACACGTCAACGACAGGTCAAGGTCGATTGCTGACACAAAGGATATGTCGGCAATTTCAGAGGAGAGCCGACTTCTGTTGGAGGAAGAAGGAAGAGTGCGAAGGATGCTGTTTGGTAGACATGGGCCATCGAAAAAGAAGGCCAAGCAGGGCGCCACCAAAGACGGAAAGCGCAAGAAGCAACTCAACGAAGTGCCCGACTATGTGCGAAAGCGGCGTAGAATTGCAACAGAAAAGAGCCGAGGCGAGCTCACTGGTGGCGCTGATGACCTGGAACGACGAGCTATCTTGGACGAAGCAGTAGAAAGAACCGAACATGAAATGGGAGAATCGGCAAATCCGTCCAAAGATGATGACGATGAAAACGATGATGGTGTGAACGACAAATACGATGACGACAACATCATGTTCTCCGTTAGCGTGCCCGAGGAACTTCGAATAGTGGTCAAGAGCCACGCATCCGTTGACGGCGATGAAGCGACAATCTTGCTGAACGACCTGCGTCCCTCTTATGTTGTGTTGTACGACGCTGAAGTTGCCTTTATTCGGGCGCTTGAAATCTACTCGTCTCTGTCATCGGCGTCGAGGGAGGACCCCATGCGCATTTTCTTTCTCATTTTTGAGGCTAGCGCAGAGGAGAAGACATTCACAAAAGCGCTGGAAAAAGAGCAAAACGCCTTCGAGCGGCTCATCCACCACAAGAAGACGATGCCTCCTCCTGCCTTGCAGACTTTGGAGTCTCAGGAAATGCAACAAGCAAGCGCTCAAGGAATGGTTGGTGGCTCATACATGAATGGGGCCCTTCCGCTTGCATTCGACACACGCCAGGGCAAAGGCAAAGCAAAAACAAACGAATTGAGGGATATCGCCGTCGACGTGAGAGAATTCAGGTCCTCGTTGCCATCAATTTTGCACCAAGGAGGAATGAGAATAGCCCCAGGTGAGTTCGGTGCTCAGTTGTGTCCATCGCTGGAGCTCACAAGTTAACACTATTTCTGCTGTGGCAAAAAGTGACACTTACGGTGGGGGACTTCGTCCTTAGCAGTGTCCACTGCGTAGAACGCAAGGGTATTAGTGACTTGTTTGGTTCGTTCGCCAGTGGCCGCCTTCACGATCAGGTGCAAGCCATGTGCAAGTACTACAAATGCCCCTGTCTTCTCATCGAATTTGACGGGAAGAAGTCGTTCTGTTTGCAGAACTCGAACGAGATGGGAGTGGAAATCAAAATGGACTCTATATGTTCAAAGATGGTCCTGTTGACGAGAAAGTTTCCAAAGCTACGCATCTTGTGGTCTCGGAGCCCCCACCACACTCTGGACATATTCAAGGAACTCAAATCAAACCACGAGGAAGTGAACGTGGAAAAGGCGATGGAAGCTGGCCGCAGCGAGTCTCTGGAAGCTTTTTGCGAGGAAGCAGGTGAAGACGACGAAGTAAACGAAATTGCCAGGACGATGTTGATGCGTTTGCCTGGCGTAAATGTTGCAATTGCACGAAAGATCATTGAAAACTGCGACTCTCTCGCGGAGCTCGGCGCCATGTCCCGGGATGAGCTGCGCAAAGTTGCCGGTCCTGTTGCAGGACAGAAGCTCTTTACTTTCTTTCGTCAAAATATCGCAGCCACATAAAACTTCACCATGTTGCATCATAATTTTAACACTATTCACATGTGCACTAACACGAACATGGAGCTATTCATCATTGTAGGTTGAATTCGCCAAATCGGAGGCGGCAGCATTGAGTAGAACCCTCGTTACCAATGCGTGAAGTTCGGGATCCTCTGCTTTCATGAGATTCATGTTCGATTGAGAAACCTTCGCAACCATAGTGTTGTCTCCGGTAGCTACCAAGCGAAACAATCTTGGCCTGTTAAGCAAGAAGTCCAGAAAACCCACCACTGACCCAACGTACCAGAGGCTTGCTGCAACATCGCTCGTGCCTGCCTTTTCTTGTTCAGCCAAGAACACCGGGTCAAGAAGGTTTGACTTTGATCCAACACGCCCAGCACCTGAAAAGACCTTCTGCTTGAGGCGACCCACAGCTCTATCAGTGCCAGAGTTGTTTGCGACGCAGCCTTGCAACACAACATAAAAGGCATCAGAGTGCTCATTCAATTGAAAGAGGATTTCTCCCGACTTCAGAACTCTCTCCTCGTGATATCGTTCATCCTCCAGCCGACTCAAAGCTTGCTTTTCGTCTTCGGATGCACCCAAAATCTTGCCCAGCACACTCGTGAAAGACTGCTGCACCGGACCAACTAGGTTGGGGATTATAGGCATAGGCATATGACGTTGTGCCTTGTATTCATGCAGTAGGGCATTCTCGCAGAACTCCAATGCATCCTGAACGGACACGAAAAGCAGTGCATTTTCGACCTTTGGTTTGCTTTTGCCAGGATTGCGGCTGCAGAGGCGAGCTTTCACTGCCGCCGACTCCTCGGTGCTCGGGTACGCAACTCCCTGCAGTTTCAAAGGAAGAGTATGAGATGACACCGTGTCGGCACAGCACGTTGTAGAAGGGTGCAGCACGTTGTAGAACGGGTCAGCTTACATGTGTTCGAAACATCCATTCGATCCGAGGTGTGACTCCGGACGCACTGGAAGATGCAGAGGCAAGAGTGAGAATAGGAGGCATATGCAACCTTTCACACACTTTCCACGATGTCTCCTACCATACGACGATGCCTTGCTTCGCAGCTATTTTCACCAACTGCAGGAAGCAACCCCGGGTGGCAGATGCATCCAGGTGGGTAACGTAAAGCAGGTCCAGAACAAGGTATTTTGGAGGCCTTCCCGCCGGCTGTGCGATCACCATGCTACCGCCCTTTTGCGATCGTCTTGGTGATGAAATCGAAACTCTGTCCTGTTGCTGGGTAGTCCGACGGGTCATGCCTGAAAGCGCCGGAGCGTGAGGAGTTCGGGGGCTGTGCATGACATCTGCAGCAGGGCCAGGTGCAGGTGTGTCCTGGTTCAGGTATGTTTCATCAACAATCCGGTTCAGACTCTGCAGCGCTGATCCAAAGAAGATGGTTCCCGTCAATTCGAGCGTCACAATGTTTTGACAGTTGTTGATATTGTAAGCGTGGTTATGAAGAATCTTGTTTTCTTCCGGACTCCAGATTGCTCTAGACCTCTTGTGAACCTTGGTGATTGTCGTTGATGTCGCCGTGAGCACAACATGATCCACTACAGCGACAAGGACGCCCACAACGATTCCTCCGTCAATTCCAACAACTTGAATGGCTAGGAAGGTGAGAATGACAATTCCGTACTCGGTGATGAAAACCTGGTGACGGATCTCCCAAAGCCATTCAAAGAGCAAGTCATATCCGATAAAGATGAGCGTGGAACCCAGGAAGAACAAGGGTGCGATTTGCAGCACGTTCACCTCGGACACAACAATGTAGAAGAAAACAACCATGATCAGAGCTCCGATCCATCGAGAGTGCACACCCGTTCGGTAGGTGAAGATTGTTTGACTGAAGATGTACGAGCCGGTGAAACCCATTGTCAATCCAGACATCACTATGTTTGCAAGGGTGGGCACGGACAAAAGTTGGTGAGATTGGGTCCCTGATGCTGCCTGGCAATCATTAAGACTGCACTTACAGTTACAAATTCCCACAGTTGCCAATTCATGGTTAGTGTCGAGCGCCTCCCCCATATCCTGCCACGAAAGATAGAAAGGATGCACGTGAGTTGCAATGCATCAAAGCGCAGAGCATTCCTGGTTGCTGGATTGCTTTCTGTCCAAGAGGGTACTTACGATGGAAATGGCAGCGACATCCAAGCACGAAGCAAATGAAACCACAAAGACCATTCCACACCACGTGGGTAGAATTTCTGTCGCCAGAGACCAATGAACGAGTTCCAGGTCGATCAATTTGAAAAGATCCGAGACGGGAACCGGTGGTGCCACTTGACCCACCCATCCTGCTTCACGAGCAGATTCCAGCGATTCTCCTGTGATCCACAACAAAACGTAGAATGACGCTGGAATGGCCACCATGATGAGTGGCAAGGCCGCGTCATTGCTAATTTTGCGAGATGCCAATGTCAAAATGAGTCCGGCCCCCAGGCCTGGAATGGCCAATAGTAAATTGTGGGGGTCAAACAAATAAGCCCAGTCCGAAACGGTGATCAAGGGTGTTGAAATACAGAGTGCCACTCCCGCTTGACAGCAAAAGTACCCGATATAAGCCAAGTATCCGCCCACTACGGGCATGGGGAGATAGGAAACGGCATCGGCCAATCCGAATCGTCCCACGATAATGAGACAAATTCCCAGGAGTGCAGTTCCCGCGGATAGGAGCACAATGGTGGTGGTCAAAATTTCATCGGTGGACCGTCCATCTTCGAGCATGGTATCGGCAATTTTGTTGGCCATGGCGGAGAGAAAAATAAGTCCCGCATCTTGGACCGTTCCAATGGCAAAATCCAGAGTGGAGAACAGCAGGAATCCGAGCTGATGAATGAGGGAACTGAAAATGACCAACTTGGAGAGTGCATTCATGTGTTCGTTATAAACGGGGTGATTGAAAATGACGGCAGCATAGCCGTAGAGTCCAGGCGCAGAGATGATCACGTTTCTTTATTAAAAAAAACAAAAATAAAAAGATGGAACAAAAATGGTTAGTCTTGGTAATTGTCCAACAAAACCTGAATGCAATGTGGAACCCTTACACTAAGGCGTAAATGATGTAATAGATGAACCTGCTGGCACCCGCCGCTTTTCCTTTGGTTTGTGCAGCACTGTCTACCGAGGCTGTCGAATCTCGATTATCTCCGGTAGAAAGCATTTTGAACTTTTTGGTTTGACTTTCTTCATCCTGCTCATTTTTCAGGGCCGAGCCATAGACCGGCGCAGACCTGGATCTGACACCGCCCTGAAGAAGGGGGTCCAGGTCAGAATTGCGGCTCGCCATGGTGAGGGTATCAAGTAGGAGATAATCAAACCGAGAAACAGTGAAAACTGATCTCCTGCTGTGACCTCAGATATAGCTGCCAGACAGAAGATAGTATATTGCTTGGCACTGTGAGCTGTGAAGCTATGAAGATCCAACTTCTTCCTTTTTGTGTTCCAAGAAGCTTATCTTTCAAGTTTTGGCTTCCACTGTTGGTCCCTTCACTTCGCCGTCCGCAAGGATTGATACAGGAGGTTCCAGCCTCATTTTTTTGGGTGTTCTTCCTTTCTGGATCCAAGAGGATGTCCAAAAGGACAAGGAACGCAATCAGAACATTTTCTTCGTTTGACTGGAGGCAGTCCAACTTCAATCATGGATGACGTCAGTCAAGGACCAACTGACACCTGGCGATGCTCGAATTCTGGGGGAAATTTTTCACTTCGCATCACCTCCGATCTGTTCGTCGTTGGTGCAGTGCGATGATAGGTTATTGCTGTCACGGAACTGTGCTAGAGTCTATTACATCTACCTGGCTTCATTCTATTCAGTGGCTTTGATCGGAGTAGCTACTGCTGCTTGGTACCAAGCAACGAAAGTACAACCTCCATTGCTATTATATTTCAAGAGTTATCTTTTGCTGGTATAAGTTCAGATGAGATACCGGTAGAGGACAAAGCAAGAAAGAGTCGAGTCAAACGACAGAAAGAAACAAACTGGTGAAAGCTACCAAACGCAAGTTAATTAATTAATTTGCCACCATGACGTTGCTCAGCCGTCCAACACTCAAGGCCATGGCTCGTCGCAAGACGCTGGCTGAAGCCAAGAATACTGATGATGGGTCCGGGAGTGGAGGTCTCTTGCGAAGCCTGACGGGGATTGATCTCGTGCTCTATGGAGTAGGATCGTCGGTGGGAGCAGGTATTTACGTCATGATCGGGCTTGGAAGTGTCATTGCGGGGCCAGCCATTAGTGTTTCCTTTCTCGCCTGTGGAGCGGTACGTCGTTTGTGGGATCCAACGTCTGGTTGTCATGATATGTATTGTGCTCATCGCTCTTTCTCTATTGACGTTCACAGGCATGCATCCTGACGTCCCTTGCTTATGCCGAATTTGCGGCGAGAATACCAGTCTCTGGCAGTGCATACACCTACGTGTAAGTTCGGCTTGTATTCAATCTGCCCTCATACGGTACCCTTCTCCCATCTCAGCTCCCATCGTATCTTTCTCACGTCATTCTAGCTACGTCGCATTTGGAGAATGCTTGGCATGGTGCGTGGCTTGGTTTCTTATCTTGGGATATGGATTCACAGCTTCGGTGGTAGCCAGAGCATGGGCCGATTATTGTGGTGATTTGCTCATCAAGATTTGCCAATCCACATCCTGGGACACTCTCTGGTTGGAACGGTTTACCGAATGGGAAGTGTTTGAAGGCTACTCATTCTCGCTCCTCTCCATGGTCATTATTGGGCTCTCTACTTTGGTATTGTTGCGAGGCGTTCAGGACAGCGCCATCTTTAACAATGCCATGACCATCATGAATGTTTTGGTGTTGGTTCTGGTAATTGTTGCCGGGTTTGGATCAGGATCCATCGATATGGACAATCTCACTCCATTTGTCCCCAACCATGCAGCCAGTGTTCTGCAAGGAGCTGGACTGGTCTTCTTTGCCTTTATTGGTTTTGACATGGTCGCAAGCTTGTCGGAAGAAGTGGTCAATCCAGAACGCAACATGCCCATTGGTATCGTTGGCAGTCTCCTCGCCACAACATGTATCTATGTCAGTGTTTCCTTGGCGGTCGTGGGCATGGCACCTATCAAACTTCTCGGTGAAACCGTACCGGTCATCAACTCGCTTTTGGTCAATGCCTATTGTACACACTCGGAACAAGTTTTGTTGGATGACGCAACCACGGCTTGTCTGGGGAACGGCGACAAACATTTGATCAAACCAGTGTTGGCGACTGTGAGCCGAATTGTGCAATACGGTGCCGTTTTTGGCCTCACAGTGGCTTGCTTTACATCCTTGATGGGACAACCAAGAATATTCTATCGCATGGCACAAGATGGACTCTGGTTTCCACAATTCGCAGACGTCGATCCAGTCAGTCAAGTGCCGAGATTTGGAATCATTGTCACCGGTGTTGTTACTGCTCTATTGGCATGTTTCGTTCCTCTGGATGCTCTAGCAAACCTCATTTCTCTTGGTACTTTGATGGTATTCACTTTTGTGGATGCAGGAGTCATTTTGCTTCGTGTGAGAACCCACGCTGACAAAGTGGAGCAGCATCATCATCAACAACAACAATCTGCAGGCCGAAAGGACAAGGAATCCATCCACGCCGCCAGAAGAGAGAGACGCCGTCGTCATCAAAAAGAGACAAACTGGGTGGCTTTGCTTTTGGTTGCCTACACTTTCGCTGTGACGTGCTCATCCGTCATCATGACCAAGACCAGTTACTCGTTCTTGGCTGGATTCTGTATGCTGGTCGCCATTGGTGCAGGTTTGGTCATTACGACGGTGCCGGAAACCTGGGTCGGCGACGATTCGCAGTCGACTTTGTCGGCAATGCACGAGCATCATTTCCTCTGCCCCTTTGTGCCGGGTCTACCATTGGCCGGAATTGCCTGCAACGCATTCATGATGGGCTCTCTCCCGACATCTTCATGGTTCTTTTGCTCGATATGGCTTGTCCTCGGTGTGTCTTTTTACTTTATCTACGGCATCCATCACTCCAAGTTGCAACATAATGAGAGATACGCAGAGTCCGCGCCCCTTGTGGCAATGGCAACGGTACCCCACACTGAAATCGACGAAATAGGTCTTCCGAACTATATGGATTTGGAATGATACAGCTGGCTATGCCAAAGGTCTTTTGATAGGGCTCGGTAACGTCCTGTGATTTCCCCAACGTCTCCACTGCTGCATCAAAGGCGCAGACAGGTTTTGATGATCGTCTTGAAGCCGGAAAAATACCGCAGATAATGCTTCGACCTTGGCACTGGACTTGGGAGTTGGAGCCAGCATCAGGCAACAGCAAACATTCATTCATCAGCTTTAGCCTACATAAGTTCTTAAGCGCTTGGGGGTTTGCAGATTTGCGGTGACAGATCAGCTCCACCATTTTACGGGTATGGCAACGGAAACGCCAAATCTACTACTAAAACCACTTAATAGTTACCCAAAACTCGCACCTACTTGCCTGAAGCCTACACATGTTTTTGGAAGATAAAGGGAGACCTACTTACTCGTACTTGCGGGCTTGCCTCTCTGCCCTTTTCCGTTCCTTTTCCAGTCGCTTTACTTCGTTTGCATGTAGGTTCCCTTGACCTGCTGCCGCTCGTTCGAGCTCCGCCACAGCTCTTTTTGCATCTTCTAGCTTTCTGCCAAGACCCGCGGCGTCCCTTTTGTTTCGGTCGATTGCCTCCTCTGTTTTTCTAGCCTTTTGTCTGTATTCTTCTGCTTTCTTGGAGCGACGCTCGATCTCCGCCTGGTCAAAATACATGGGACAGTTATACTCTGTAGCTGACGCTCGATTGTGCCCATTTTGGCCGCAGGCGCCACACCTTATTCGTTTCTTTGTACTGTCAGTTGATGGAGCCTTAGCACTTGCAGTGGGAATGTCGACTCGTGCTCGCGACAGCGTGGGAGTGCATGAGGGTCCCGATCCGTAGTCAAAGTCCAACGCAAAACTACCGCTATCATTCCTACCGGGAGTGCCTGTTTGTCTATGTTCGTTACACATTCCGCACTCTGAAGCCTCAGGATCATTCACGTAAGTGCATTGATGGCAACTCCACATTTCTTTTGCACGCGCTGAGCCACATGCCTGGCACTGGTTAGCATGCAAACCATTCTGGAAGGTACATTTATCGCAACTCCACCCATTGCGGTTTGCCTGGACTGGCGTACCCATTCCCATGGCGTCAACTCTAGCTGCAGGTTCAGGGATCGATAGCATGTTGTCAAACCTTGCCAATCGAGCCTCTCTAACCCTGTCCGCTTCTGTGTTGCCGCGTGGACGTGGCGGACGTTCACTATGTTTCTTGGCGCTCGTTTGCACTTTCGTCTTTGCCTTCTCCTTCTTGTAGGTTGTCAGATCATAGTTGCACATCGGACATCGACATAGACGGCTACCTGACTTGCTGCTGAGCCACGCTGCCAGACAATTTTCATGGAAGGGATGCATGCACGGAGTGACTACCACGTTCAACTTTCCCAGTGCACTTTTGCAAATTGTACAGACGTGTTCTGCTTCTTTGGGCGATGAAGCTGAATTTCTTCGGATAGGAGTTGAAGGCGTACCGGTAGCCTTCTTTGAGGCGGAGGACGAAGCTCCACGCCTACGCCCGCTCGACCTGTCCTCTACGGGTGTTTTGACGGGAGGCGCCGCCACAGCCAGCAAGGGAAGTTCGCCAGCGGCACTTTGCAGCAGCGAGCTTAAACGTTGCCTTTGACTACTCTCTCGTGCCACCTGTACAAAGACACCCCTCCTGATTTGGATATCAAGTAACCAGAAAAGAATCGAGCTTCGGCCCGCGAGAGGCGACTCGGCGGACTGCAGCTTTTGCATTTCAACCGCACACTGTGATCGAAATTCGTTGTCTGTAGAATCTGCAGCTCTCTGTCGGTGGTATAAGGCCTTCCAAATCGCTGATACGTCCTTGTAGAATTCTGCATCATAGTGATACAATCCATTGATCAGCAACAAGGCGGGCGCAGGATCCACATTCTTGTTGTTCGAAGTGATGTGAGGTTCGTTCTTTCTCTTTGCTGGAGGCTTTGTTTCGACGACTTCCACTTCGTCGTCAGATAGCACCTCCGTTTTCGGTAGGAACGGATTGTGATCGACGACTTCGACAGAGGCGTTGAGGTCATCATCATCGTCACTGTCTATGTTGATTATCGCGTCATTGGGTGGTGACCCTTTCTTGGCGTTGTTCTTCGTCTCAGTCCGGAGTGCATCCACACCATCCAATACCATGACTGAAGCCCCCGAGTCGCTGGCTTCGTCTTTTGTGGTGGCAGATGAGGCCGCTTCTTGAAAAGACTTCTCTAGATCAACAACATGCGCAGAATGGCTTGCCTCGTTGCTTCGGCTCGAACTGGTAAGGTTGCCAATTGATTCTTCGATCGACCCTTCAATGATCCCTCTGATGAACAAATGGTCGTCCCACTCCACGAGAACAGGGGCAGTCAATTGGGTGGCTGTATTTTCACCCTTGCGCCTTGCATTTTTGGAAAATTCATCAAAAGTAAGAGAAAGCGAGCCTACGGAAGGGGTTGACTTGTGAGCTGATGGCGCTTTTCCAAGTGAAAGAGAAATCGCCCGAGCAACGTCGTCGTCTTCGTTGATCTCGGTCGACACGATGCTCGAACCGAGGACGTCTCGAATTATCAACATGGTATCGATGGTTTCATTGTATGACCGAGTGTAGTGTATGAAACACCCGTGTTCCACTTGCAACCGGAACAAAACTTCTTCCAAGCGCTCGTGCACAATATCTCTGCCGTGTCGATCTTGGATTTCTCTGCAAAATTGACAACGCCTTTCGGGCGTACATTTATTGGGCGCATCATCGCGGTTGTCGCATCTCGCACCTTCAATCAGAAACATGACCTTGGTGCATCCACTGGCTTTCATTTTGCACAGTTGGCATCGTCCATTCTCGCACTTTGACGACGACGATCCAATCTTGACGCAATCCAAGCGTCGCTGCTGCCGGCCTTTGCCCAATACCGAGTCTGCCAGATCGGACCAAGTCTTTCGTTCAATGACCACCGGGCAAACTTTGTCGTCGACCAGGAAGAGATAATCTCCTGCCGGCAATTCCCTCTGCTCACAGGGAACGCGTTCGACTTGACAACGCTGGATGAATCGATTGGCATATGTCTGATCCTCTCGCGTGTCTACCACAATTGTAATCGGATTGTTGTGTTGTCCTTTTGGAATGTTCTCACCAACTGTCGCTAAGACCTGTTTTTGAAACACGTCGCAGTATTTACCCAATGCCTCTCCGGTTGGTAAGAGACTGTAAATACCCTCTTGGTTGGCTCTTCTTCCAGGGAGCCGTTCCATTCTCACCATGTCTCGCTCCATGAGCGATTCAATACAGGCAAATGCGTTTCTCCCTCGTGCCTGATGATCGTAGAAATTGGATCGACAAATGGGTTGTGCCAATTCTTTGAGGCGTGATTCATCGAGTGACAACTGACCCTTTTGCATTTGTCTATATAATGTACATAGGATTGCAAAGGGTCCTGAAGCGTATTGTGGACAGTATATATCTTGTTTCCCCTGTCGATGCATCTCTTTCAAGATTGCCTTGGCGCGAGCATCGGTAAATGGGACACATTGGTGATTGCGTTGCAAGGGTGGATGATTGGCCGAGAAGCATCCGAGACAGGAGAGTATCTTGACAAAGGGACATCCCTCTGTCAGACACAGACAGTCTGCCGGAGCTGTGGTACATGTAGAACACTTCCAATCCTGATCTTTGAGTCGCCCCGATGGTGATTCAATGGCCAATCGCCGCCGCTTGTTTGGTCGTTCGCTGGATGGTGGTGCCTTTCTTCGGGAGGCCCTGCTGGTAGTGCTTGGCGTAGAAACTCCGGTTCGTTGCTCATGACGTGCCGTTTCGGCAGCCAAAAAGGCTTCAATAGGACAGGATGCAATGGGATTGTTGTTCTGGTTGTCGCTATGCATAGTAGGAGTACCCATTTGATTCAATAATTTGTCCAGTTTGAACTGCAGCAACTGCCAACAGGTGGTTGGTCTTGCATCCCTAGCTGTACTTGGTTTGAAGAGGTGTGCCATGCTATTATGATGAGATCGTCTCGGTTGTTGGTCTTGTTTTTGTTCTTCCATGAATTTGGTCCAGAATGCGTACAGTTCGTGCAAGGTGGTACACTGTGGAACAATCACATTGGCAAATCGATCTTGACGCTGAATAACCTTCTTGGCGAGAGCCATAAAGACAATTCTCGATTTCATGCTATCCTGATTCCATCGATTCGTCCAAGGGTCCAGCGTTCGACTGCTATTCAGATCCAAGAGGGGCTCGATACGTTCTCGGGTTCGTTCCTCTTCCAAGAGAGATGATTGCACCGTGTTCAAATCAGTCAACGCAGCCGACAAGACAGACGCCAGTAGAGGAGAGGAACAAGTCTCTATAATATCTCCACTTTGGACATTGTTGGTGGCCAAGGATGTATTGAGCGCCAATTCGTGAGCTCCTTGACGAGAAAATAGATGGATTCCCTTCTTGGTATCCAACTTCAAATCAGAGATCACTTGCTCGAGACGATAGGAACTGTCCACTGTAATGGTTTTGATCCGGTTAGGGTAGCTGTACCCATCGCGAGGACGGACGTGGATTGTCACCAGCACCATGGTGGTTGATTGTTTTAAGAGATAATAACAGAGCTATTACCGTATCAATGGAGACCGAGATGAGGGGTGGCCGCTACAGACCACCATCTTGGGTGTACCGGTAATATCGCTCAAGTTTTGGTGCAACCTTCCCAATTTCCGGAATTGGGAACAAGGCGAGATTAACCCACTTCACAAATTGTTTTTATGTAAACACAGCTTAACGGGCTAAAATAGCCTCATCCGTGGATACTCTCACGTCGCCCGAAACCTGACACCTCTTTTTGAGAATTCGGCTCTCTCTCTCTTTCTCATTATTCTGTTCTTCTTTCGAACTTGAAGATCATTACCTGGCCTGATTCATTCATTCATCTCATATGTACTGTACTGTACCAGTAGTAAGAGGAATTGAAAGACTTTCAAGGTTTCTTCCTGTTGCGAGTTCGAGAGAGTAGAGGCTTGGGTTCGTTTTTCTTTTGACGCTGTTTTCAAGGCTTTCTCACCCGTTCCAAAAAGATGATCGACACCGACTATGGGTTCCTCGATGCCCAGCTTCGCATGTTGGGTGAGAATGATGAGCAATTTCGAACTCTCTCACTCAATCTAAATCGCATGGAAAAGGATTTTTCGCAGCAGCTAGCTCACTGGAGAGAAAGTCTCTTTAGCTTTAGTGTGGCCCAATGGTTGGAAGTCTTACGTTTCAATACTACAGTCGATACCGTCACGGTAGATTTATCCCTGTCGGAAACTACCATTTGGAAAAAGGACCACCTCAAATGTCTCATGATCGCCATTGGATGTCTTCCCAAACTGAAACGACTCGTCATTCGACAAAATAATCTCGGACAACCCAGACGTCTGGCACCCGTCCAAGCCATTGTGGCGGCTGTACGACGAGCCCATCAGATCGAGTGCTTGGAATTGTGGGGCAATGAAATAATTGTCCCAAGTGTCCAAAAGCCCTTGACAGAATTGACCCAAGTCATTCTGGAGGAATGCACTCAATTGAAAAGTTTCAAAGTGGCAGGATTCCATTTGAATCACAATCATGTCGCCATGTTTACACCCCTCATGACTCTGCCACATTTGACAGAATTTGGTCTGGGAAACACCAGCGACGGCTTTGAGCCAGTGGCCAAAATGCTTTCGAGTTGCCCCAATATCCGAACATTGACGCTTTCCTTTGTGGATCAACTCGAAGATGCCGATTGCATGGCATTGGTCCAAGCACTGAAACGCAATCAGCAGCTACAAATCTTGTCGTTGCTCAATACCGAGAACAACGCTAACGCCAGTAGTGGTATCAGTCCACGATGCCAACGTGCCCTGATTCAAATGTTGGAACACGGCAACATGACCTTGCAGGAACTGAAAACACGGGGAGATGTCAACGCAGAAATCCAATTGTACCTCAAACTCAACCGAGCGGGAAGACAAGACTTGTTTCAACAACATGACAGCTTGCCCTCGCGGGAACTGTGGGTCGATACGCTAATTGCATCGAGGGATGACCTGGATTGCTCCTTTTATTTCCTCACCATGAATCCATCTATTTGTGCTACATGATGCATCTATCCGGTCTACATTCTCGTTGCCGCCCCATTGAATGACTGTGTGTTTTGTTCCAGCTCGGGCGAGCAAAGTCGAACACTCCTACTACCTTGTGCTTGACTGACACCAACTGCCAGTGCTCATCATGTCATCAGCCTATATCTGTCATTAATCTACTTACTTTGCCAATAATCTGCTGTAAATCAACATTTCATGTTCTTTCTCCTTCGTGCAAGACTTGCACAGGGGGCTTATTAATAATGAGGGATTGCAGCCAGGGACGCACCCAGCTGCGCACCCCGGGAGCACCAACTACTTAGCCCTTGCCAAGCCCTTCCTGATCAGCCCAAGCTAGATCCTTCGGCTGCAAATGAAAAAGTTCAATCTGGATTGGTCTCCCTGAGAACTTTGCTCTGCCATCATTCAACATCTTGCTGGGTGCCAAAACCAGCCGGTGCGGCAATAGAAAGATCCATTATCGCCCATACTGTATGCAATCACACGGGTTACACTGCATGTATAAAGGGTTGGGTTGAAGAGATACCGACCGTATTCCTGATACTGTACCATTCCTCTAGCACCCAACAATCTTAATTAATGGTCCTCACTTTCTTGCCCCTGATCCCACAGAACCCAGTCCCGAATTTCGACTGTTCTTTGCTTTTAAGCCTGGCCCCGGCTGGCTTCCGTAGATAATTTCCCTACTCTAAGGGCATTCTCTACTCATTCTCGTCCTATTTTCTCGTCCTAACTGCTCGTCCTATTTTCTGGTCCTTTTCTTAGGACGAATTGGCAATCTCTAAAAAATCGTTCTAAAACTGGACTTAGATAAGACAAGTTTTAGGACGAGACGAGTTCATTCTCTATAAACTGGTCCTAAAAGCTCGTTCTAAACTAGCTAGTGAGGTTTGCACCTCTCCCCTTTCAGCCTATTAAAGTGGTCCTGCTAGTGTGGCTAGAAGCTTCCCACAAAGCACCTCTGTGGTCTACATATATATTAATACCGGTAGGTGTGGTGGCTAATGCTGTTGTTTGTTATCTAATACTACTAGCTCTAGTAGCCGCAGCGGTGCGAGTTGAGACTCAGTCTTGTTAACTCAATCTTGTTAGCTCGATGGCAGGTGATGTCATCAAAGGAGACTCGAGGACTTAGAGGCTTTTTTAGAACGAGTGGTAGGACGAGTTAAATTTTTCCGTCCTATCTTTGAAGAATAGAACGAGAAAAAAAGAATCGTCCTAAATTTTGTCCTATTTTTAGGACGAATTTGACTTTAGAGATTGCTTTTGTTCTAAATCTTTGTTCTAAAATAAACTTAGAACGAAACTTAGGACGAACGAATCTACTAGAGAATGCCCTAAACCCCCCTTTATATAATTAATAAAAGTTCAGGGTCATCTAGCTAGCCATAGCCACTCGCAAGCCTGATACAGTAGCATTAATTTCGTCTCCCGGAGACGACTTGCTTTAGGGGTAAGGGTACAGTTGGGGGCGGAGGTTTGAATTATACCCGGCGTGCAATACTTAGAGGCCTCTGTAGAAGTCTACGTATTTGACTAGTATGGAAACTGAACTTCTCATCTTTCCTATCGAAGATGTGATACTTGCTCGACGATGTTAACTCTACCTCCGTGACATCTTTACTTTACTTCTCATATTCTTCTCCTTTCTGTTTGACACCTGGATTCAAGCTCACTCTTTTCCTGATAGCTATCGTTCTTAAAACGTGTTGAAAAAGTGTGAACTTGAACGCACATTTCTTAATTTAATCAATATCCTTTCCAGCTCTACTGTCTAGTAGACTGGCTATTCGTTCGTTTTCTCTTTCTCTCTCGTTCAGATTGTGAGGTACTACAACTGAGCTCCGATATGATACATATACCAGGATCTTCGATCCTCTGCTTCTCGACAGTTTCATCTACAGATAGACTCGTCGATCTATCTTCCTGAAGTGCATGGTTGTGCCCATGGAGGGCTTTCACACTTTACTTAAACTATGGACCATCATCCGTCATTCATTTGCTCCGATCCCTTCGCTCCTTGTCATTCAGTCTTCTTCGACCTAAATTCCTAACCCTTTGTAGTTGCATCATCTAGACGACCATGTGTCCTCGTTCTCGTACTCCTGGCCATCTGAATGATGATCGGAATAACCATCTGATTTGAGTCAACACATCCCAAATACACGAACCGTGGATTGGTATCCGAGTCGTGTGTCCGTCATAGAGAAAATACTTCCGCATGGCGTTGTCTCCGTTTCCAGATAATAAGGTTGAGGATTACCGAGTCGTTTTTCGGGTAGTTTGGCGAAAGTGCTGTTTGCGTCGCTGAGTTGCGTGTGATTTATGAAAATTATAAAACGAGATACGGTCGCCCGTCGCGGCATCCTTTCTTTTTGCTTCGCCCCGAAACGCCCTGTCATACAACTGCTCATTCATGCGAACCTTGTGTGAAAAGCGAGGTACTTTCATGTGCATGTAATGCGTTGACTGTATCCCGTCAAAACAA